AAATCTTGGACCAGATTTTATCCTAGTTCTCACTCGTCGAAATAGTATACCTGAAATTCTGAAGTAACCAGTGCTCCTTGGTGAATCCAAACCAGCATCGCCAAGCTACATGGTCTGAGTTATTGGGGCTGCGACTGACCGCGTGCAGGATGGAGGTGTTTGCAACTGACTGGTCACTTAGATTAGCATGTACTATAACGGAACAGATATTGTACGAGTTAGGACTGGTTTTTCTCGAATTATTATTAGTCATAATATTGTTGCATAGTGACTATACTTTATCTGTTGTCATCTAATATGCAGTCTCTCTCATTCACAGACACACTTTGTCTTGGCCATGAATGATAGCCACTTTTCACTTTACGGTGCGTTGCGGTCTGGTATGTCTGTATGTAAACTGTCTATCTGGAATAAATATAATTGAGGAGAGTTCTGACATCTGGACTAAAAGGCAGGGCACTGAGAGAAGCTACAGTATCGTAAACTAATAAGGATTTAGCAATCAGATCGAGGTTAGTAGTGCTACTTGGACATGTAACTGCTCAACTCAAAGATAGTAAGTCATATCACTGGTTTCTGATTGGTGGTTTTGTCACATGTTTTGATCAGTAGTCATATGACTTGATATCCGACCCATTGTAACTTAACAGATGGAATTCAATCAATATTCAAAGGATTAAAAAACATTATATTAGTCACCATTCAGTTATCGATCCATTATAAATGTGTACTAAGACTATCAGTTGGAAAGTGAATGGTCGTATTACATTTAATAAAAAAAGTGGTTCTTATATAGAATAGTAACTACTAAGAATTATAAAACAGTAGCTTGTTTTAGTTGCAAGGAAATAATTGAGTAATCGAGCTTAGCCTGATCATTCAAAAATCGCACACTGTCAATACATAGCTTCACAAAAGTTAAAAGACAGTTGAATATAGATTAATTTAAACACTTAAAAAGTGACATTTGTTATGAATAAAACTCTACCCGTATAAATCTATTTTGTATTGATATTTGATCAGACATAGTTAACTCTTGACAGTTTAGTATTCAACATTGATTAATTGAATGAATTAGCCTAATAATCCAATTTATAAATTTCGTAAGTTTGGTATGTTAGCACTAAAAAATTATGATTGTTGAGTCACATGCTTGACTCTTGACTTTTTATACGAGCGAATGTAGGTGTAGATGTAGGAGGTATACCTCCTTTAGAGGATTTACTTAAATTCTGTCACCAGCGTAATACTTTACAAGATCTCTGTAGGCCGATAAAAAAAAACATATTTTTGTCGAATTAGTGCTTCATTTATTGATTTGCCTAAAATTATTTCCACTGGAATGTGAAACACATAAACTCAACAACCTATAATCAAGAAAATATCAGATTTTCCTTATTATTTCTTTACAGGATTCTGACAGCAAATTGTGAGAGATCAAGGGAATTTTTTCAATCAGTATGTTTCCCATAGATAATAAACTCAATATTGTCCGATAATCTAGATAAAAGTTTTAGAATACTTCGTATCTTGTTCATTAATTACTTCTTCCCTTTCCGAGGATTAACAAAACGTTCCTATGTGCTATTAATTGGATGATGATGATAATATAGAAGAGATCTAATATGTTTAATCTCAAAATGATTAATTACTTTTCTAGAATCTCTGAAAACTCCGCCTAGAGCCCCTCTGGGGTTACTGCTGGTCCCAAGCCCCGATAAAGGAGGAGGGTTGGACATGGGGTTAGCGACTCGTCACGTAAGAAATTAACTCGCTAAAAAAACGCTAAAATCTTTGAAAGTAATATTGATTTTTTGAAACTGCTAACCATTTGGAAATAGCATTAAAACAATACGAAGAACACTTATCGAATGGTTCAGCAAAATTCTCATGTAGACATTATTGAATTTCTGTCTGTATTAGTCATCATGATGAATCGGAATTTAATAAGTAACATCGATAACTGTGTTGATTTTTAAAGTTTACCGAATGGTTAAATCTATTTTAATCATACTTTATTTCCATTTATTTATCAATGGAATGTAGAACGTGTGTTTTGTCTTGTCTGAGACTTATTAATTTGATGTACCCGAAATTGATTTCCACACTGAAATTTGAACCTAGTACCAATGAGCGGCTAACTTGTTCAAAAATGGATTATCCACCAAATATTTCAATTAAAGAGAACAAGAACGAAGATTAGTGCAGAATGAATTTATATTATTCTGCATCAATCTTCGTTCTTGCTCTATTTAAGATAGTAAAGGGAACGATGTATATATTATAACGGTTGGTTTTCGACGTTTACAAGTATGGGACGTTAATTTACCTTAAACAAATATCTACACTAGATTCCCTTCCCAGTGTTTGTTCTACAGGACTTCAACATAACTCAGATCAAGAACACGTGATTAGCCTGACACAACGTAAATATAGTTCCACACCAAAATCCGACACAATCCAACAACAGTGAACAATCAATGATGATAAGAATAGAGGAATATATATAACTCATCTGACACCTGTCAGACTACTTACATGTCTGACTAAGCAGACAACCAATCATTATCATTCTCGCCCACACATCAGTATATGTCATTTCAATTAAGACTTATCAAAAAAACCAGTTCGGAGTATCGTCAGCTGAACGATACAAATCCCTACTAATAATATTTATAAAATAATTTTATTGTCTACTCCAACTTGTTTTACATTAGTCATAGTTACAAATAAAAATCAGTGTAATATGAAAAGAAAATATATTTGGGACCTAAACAATTTGTACTTTAGAATTTATTACATAAAAATGTGATCAATTCACAAGTGTAGCACATTAATAATTAAAATAAGTTAAACGAGTATTCTTTTTACATTATCTATATAATCTAAACAAATATACAATTAAAAGGATTTTGTGAAGATTTTATTAATTTCAATAGTTGAAATTATGAGTTAATTGAAGCTAGATCACCAGGGAAAACCTGGAAGCTCTGGATGTCCGTTTTGCCCTACTGTGAGATTGCTCAGAAGTGCGCATCCACGATCTCGCCTCGCGAGATTCGAACCCAGAACCTATCAATTTCGAGGATGAGCGCTTAACCACTAGACCACTGAGCCGGTATCCAACGGTGTTAATGTTTAACTTCAACTAATCCGCGAAATTGCGCCACCGTACACCATTGCCTTCAGTGAGCTGATATCTCACAACAGACCTGGTTCAACTCCACTGGTAACGGCTTCTCACTCGAATCTCGCGGCGAGGGGTAGCAACTCCTACTGTGAAGCTGAATAATGAGGATTCGAATCTCACAGTTCCCTCAAGTTTCCATGCATAACTTGACGACTAGCGTCAGCTATTACGATGTTTAAGTCATCGATTCCCTGCTGATTCACCTTTAACCATCTAACATCTCGACATAGAACACGTGGTGCCTAGTAACTCAGGCTAGTGGCCTGATTGACAGAGCCCGCGCATACGTATTATATGTCCTCACCGTCTCAGTCGATAAAAATTCACATCCTCGTCAGTCGATCGACCGTCTTTACCTCGTATACTGTGTTTAACCACAAAATCGCTAACTCGATGGCCTTAAAATATGCGAGCGATGCTCTAAAGACACCTATGATCGATTCTTAGTGAACTACGAATATCCCCTATTTTAAGAGGTCAGGCTTCGCAGCCACAAAAAAGAACTGCTGTATAGTGCATTCATCCCTTAGTTGGTAGACGAATAGCTTACCTACTCCACAAATGATGTAATTTGGTGAAAGACAACGGGACTTTTTGAATTTGTGTTGAAATCTCGTCAGACACCAACCCATCCGGGCTGTTGAGATTTCCAAGACAGGTGAAGTAGTCTACATGTTTAACTACTGCACTTCCAATCATTAGTTCAGGCATTGATGCAAACCAGTACTAAAGTAAAATTTTGCATATCATTTATCGCTGTAATGAACTATGTATTACAATAATCATGAATTCCATAAATTTATACAACTGCAATACTAAACTATACTCGATTCAATTTCAATTCATAACATAAATAGTCATATATGTAATAGCTAGAACTGTAAAACAGGAATACTACACGAATCAACAGACATATATATACAAATGTGGCGAAATAATTTATTGATACACGTATCATTGTTTACTGAAAAGAGTAAATCAACATAAAATATCATCAATCATGTTTACCATATCATATTATTTTCTAGCAAATAACTGTACATCAGTGTCAGTTTATGTTTCATTGTAATCATAATATCTTATCAACTATAGATGAATGAATGGATCCGACATATTAAAAAGTATCACATTGATAAATATTTGGTTCAATGTTCAAATAGTTCTTAACTTTAAAAACAAATCAATAAAATATAAGAAAGATAACGAAAGGATAATAAAATGAATTCACGTTGGAGGTTTGATCCTGTTTTATTGTTTTACAATAAATAAATAAATAAAAACCCTACTACAAATGATAAAATGTACTTGAAAAGAAGATTCATTAAAATATTTTAATTAAATTGATTTACAGGTGAGAATATAATTAATGGACAACCTTTGAGCGACATTAAAGTGATCTTGAGAATGTTCATATATTAACTGGGACCAAATGAGGGTTATTAACTATGGTGAGGAACTAGAATTAAGATTTACTGTTGATGATTAAAGGTTAGGAATTAGATTTATGATTTTTATCACGAACTGACATAAGCTAAAATGCCAAAAACGCTTTTTAATCAAATGGATGAATGAATTTCGTGCCAAAATCTAAGACATTTTATCTTATATCTGATTGGTTTGTCCATAAATTATAGTCTTGCCATGAATGATATGTATTATGGATAGGTTTAATCAGGTTAAAATTATCAATTCACTAACATAGATAAGTAGCAGCAATAATAAAGGAGCATTGAATAGCAGTGTAAACCTTGTTGATTAATATACAAACTTCAGTTAATTTCCATGAAATTTCTATTTCCAATTGATGATATCATTTTAGTTTTTCATTTAAATTGTGTACACCAGTTGATGATGATGACTGTCGACTTAACAGATCTAATGTGGTTGTACTGTTATCCATTAAATATGCTACATCATCATTAGAATCATACCATACAGTAGTACTTTGTTGACATAAACTTGCAAGAAAATCTCGAGTGATGACTAATGTTAATAGAATACAATGTATCATAATACCAATAAAGATAGCTCCTAACAAAACGATAAATATACGTGGTATATTTGAAAAATCTTGATAACCATTTGGTAACAATGCATGTCCACCAATGAATACAGTTGGATTTGAAGGAAACGGTGTAGTTTTATCCAGATTACCAATTGTATACGCTAAATATAGGCTTAATGTTGCAACAGCCAAATAGATTAGATGTACAATTACAGGATAGAATGTATGACATATATATAATGGAATACTGTTTAAAAATAAATCCATCAATATTAAACAACCAGGTATGCTATGTTTCAATGTTTGTTCAAGGGCTATAATGAAAAAAAACGAAATAACAACAAAACATATAACTAAGTCAACAGAAAGGCGGGTTTATTATCCAAGATGGAGGCGGGTAAACATTTTGTTAAGATGGATAATAGTTGATTAGGAAAAAACGAATAGTAACTTACTGATGGTTAGTAACAACTCATCGGTTAGCATAGCAAAAAACCTATAAGCTAGAAGTGGTGATATGTAGGCTCAGTTCAATACATTTAGACAGAGTTGTGAAGTTTTCACTGCTATTCTAGACGACAACAGCAATATCAACGCCTATTTTGGGTAGAAATTAGTTTATTTGTTGTAAATCATGTTTGTGACTAGTTGTTTTGGCTGAATTTATTATCTCCATATATGTTTTTGTATTTTTGTTGACTGTGTTTATACTTTTGACCTTAGACTATAATGGTGATTGGGTAACTTTATCCAGAAATTGATTAAATGGATCTATCAGTATAGAGGGATTGTGAATACTGTTGAATGTTATAGCTTACATCAGGAACCGGTTATCGATCGGCTCTTAATCCGTGGTCTGTATCTAATATCAGTTTTGAAAAAAAATTAACAATCAGTTCACTTAACTTTGACATTGTTCAAAATCGGTCACAATCGTGTACAGTTGCATTTAATCTCTACCTTTTGTTGTAGTGTCCAAACGTATCTCTCGGAAAAATCCATAGAGGCCCAGAAAACGCTTGGGAACGCTTTACTCAACCAGCGTCGAAAAAAAGCACCTCAGGAACATCTAGAAACTGGAGTTACATCTCATATTTCTGACTGGATATTCAACTATACCGCTACAGTATTTAGCATGGTTCCAGAAACCCAAGATCGTGTGTAACTCTACAAATACCAAAGTTTTTCTGTGCATACATTAACATTAGGGTAAAGCGTTCTTCTCATATTTGGTGCCTTTTTTCTTATGTTTAAGTTGCCGAGTAGATTTAGTCAGTTGTTAGGAGAGGAAAGGAAATCAGATCGAGCGTTCATTTCGTAGACTTACCATCTATACTCCCTGAGATTATGAACTGCAATATTGATTAGTGATTTTTATCCCACGAATTTATTCATTCTTTTACAATTACAATTACTGATACTATGAGTATTTTTGCTTCATTTGCTATCTAATCTTATCAATTTCCCATCATTGAGTTAATATCAGTTATGATCACTTGAACTGATGAACATTATAATTACACTTGATAACATTGTTCATGATTGATTGATTGATACAACTATATCATGTATATTTTGATACAAAAACAACTGAACTATTCTAAGCAAACAAACAGAATTTAAGCTCAAAGACCTTTAATAAATGCGATTGATTAAAATTTTGGAATCTTTTTCTTAATCACATACATGACAAGTAATTCTCACGGATTAAATAAATCTTAGTGATTGTGACTTATTTCTACAAAGTTTCCAGTTATTTCTAAAAATTCCTTTCATAATCCAATCGAAGTGTCAACCGTCAATTCACTAAACAATGTAATGGTGTAACGGGCGGATCTCACGGTTAAATGCGCAGCGTATTTATCGATCGACTCAATGACACGTAAAACACGTAAGGACGACCTAGAGTCCCACTTCCCTGTCTAGCCCAGCCAGTTGAGTCTAGAACGCAAGTCACAGCCTCTGAGTTATGAATCGTTATATTTCAAACATACTCTGTTTATATACCAACCAAACAGAGCACATCATACCATAAAAATAGAAAACAACATCTGTACAATATTTAACGAGTGAAATAAATAATGGCCAATAGGGAATGCCCATTTAGAGTCCAAGGACATCATTAGACTTAACATGATAATGATTGGTGTATTCCTCAGCATCCCTAACACGTACTTCATTTTAAACTACTTTCTCTATATGTTACTAATGTTAGAAAGTGAAATTCATTCACTTAAACTCAATTAATGTCAATTATTCTCAAATCAGTTAATAAGACTATTGAATGAATTCATTACTAAATAAAGCATTATTGATTAATTTTAGATAAACTTCCAAATTATCTTTACGTCGATTGATTATAGACAATCAGTAACAACAAAACAACCAATTCGTGACTTAATGTAAGCAACTTCTTCAGAGTAAATAAATAACCGAATCAAATTAACACAATTACAAATAGTAACAAAAGAAACAGTGCAAAATATTTTTTGTACAATCAAAATCATAATAGGTCTGAATATGTCAATGTCAAGTTATTCTTCTACACAAAAATTGTGTTAACAGACAAATTATGTCGATTTTGATGTGTTCTAAATTAGAGAGCCTTACCGTGAGATATCGATCTGACCAGAACAAAAAATAACTTATACAAAATCATCTCCTAATAATCCTGTAAAACTGAGACATCCACAAGTTAAATCACCAACAGTAGTACATGCTAGTTTCAACAATCACCAAATTCATATTAAAAATATTTCAGAAATGTTCTCCCAACTATGAAGGCAGGACAGTAATCTGATGCTAAATCCCTCTTCCTTCAATACGAATGAACACCTAACCATCCATCCAATCTGAACTGTTTATCCAATTAACCACATTTGACCCCATTTATTTTCCACACAATCTGCATACACACACACACAAATATATATATATATATATATATATATATATATATATATACTCAATTTCAATCTCACTCTACTTCATATTACAAATGTATATATCTTTTACCCATACATTTCCACTTATGACACACAAATTAATGCAGTGATAGGTGATACAAAATCACCTTGACTAAAAATAATTTGACATTGACATGTTCAGACCTATTATAACTCTGACTGTACTAAAAATATTCTTCATTGTTTCCTTTGTACCATTTAAACTTACGTTAATTTTCTTTCGGTTATTTATTTGCTCTGAAGAAGTGAGTTATGTTACGTGACGAAACGTCAGAAATACAATTTTCTACTCATTGCAATTTCACTTTCTACCCAGTGTTCGATTTATTTGAAACTACTAAGTCCAATCTTGGCATTGATACCTATGAAAAACTATTAGCTTATTTTAACTTGTTTCAAATAAAATGTTAGTATAAAAGGGGTTTATAGAGATTGTTGAATTCTAGAGCTTAGTTACATCAGGAACTGGTTGTGGTTAGACAACCACTGAAAATTAGAAGCACTGGACAACTGTCTCATCCTCGTATGGAACTCCTTAGACGTTAGCCATTCATTATTCGTGGTCAATACAGGCCTTGGCAAAGATGACAAACCATATTAACATGACAAGATAAATTGTAAAACAGACAGAAATAATGCAATAGCAATTATAATCAGAAATATTGAATATTGGAAATGTAGTTCGAAAATACGAAGTGGGAAAGGTATAGACGAAGGAATTCGCGATCGAGAAGAGGATAAAGTGTGAATGAACCTGTGTCATTGTGAACGATTCTGAATGGTCCACATCTACGACCCAATAGGGGATCAAACACAGAACCTACACATATCACCGTAAGCGTTTTATCTTTTCAAATGAAAATGTTATCCGAGTTGATGTAGCGTTTTCCGTGGAACTAAACTATACCGACGGCTTTCAAATAAATGGAATTGGCCATTCATAGTAGAAATAGCGATCGTTGAATATATGCACGAATTTTAAAAAGGAATTGCAGGATATTATGCTTTTGACGAAATTTCCCATTTTGGTTAAGTTGGTTGGTGATATCAGATAGATCAGCTATAGAACATTGAACTACATTCTGGCTGGCTCATATTCGACTGGCTAATCCCAAGGTCTCACCTAAAACCGCTCAAGGCCGTCACTATTGCTTGGTTCTACCAAATTTTCTATTCAAAAACATAAATTCTATAAAAATATAAAAAACTATTACAGAACATTTACAGCTATATAAGAGTTAAGAAAACGTTTTTTAGTTGAGATCATGAACCGATCAATGTTAGACCACCACTGAAAACCTGAGAGCACTGGACTGCTGAGGAGTCCCACATTAGGACAAAATGACTGTCCAGTGCTTCCAGGTTTTCAATTTTGGTCTAACATCGGTCGGTTCATGATCTCAATTAAAATTCAACAATCTCCACAACCTGATACTGATAAATATTTTTTGTCTATAGCAAACGAAGTTTTTTTACTCATATGCGACAATGGAAAACAGAACACATAAAGTAAAAAACCAAATGTAATTTTACGCTCACTCTAAAGTCGTTCACCATTCAAATAATCAATAACTATATAAGTATTCGTATTCATAACAAGCTAATGAAGGTATCATACGAATTAAACATTGTCCACTCAGTTGCTAGTTATCTTAACACAGTCAACCAACAAAACCATAGTTTGGTGTTCGTCGTCATAGTAACAATATTGAATAGCCTAGGTACCGTTACTAAAATGTGTATTTGTGTGTGTGTGTATTTGTAAATAAAATTCATTAGATTTCAATAGAGTTCTGTTCAATTTTTGATATATTGGAGAAATTGGCACGATTTAAGAAAACAATTCTTGTAACAAATGCTACATACTACTAATAAACTGAAGCAAACTGATCATTAAAACACGGTTATTAATACATAGCTTGTAATAACACACAAGAGACATGTGGCAACCTTGAACAGCGAACTCCTTACTAGTGCTTCACTTTGTTTGACACGATATAAAGACGGGGAAAATGTAGAATTTCGAAAAATCTTTTTAGTGAAAAAAATCAAAAGTAGAAAGCTTTTATCGACTAATCGGATTTAGAATATATGTACAACCGACCGAACTTTGAGAATTATAACACTGAATCAGTGGAGGGTATAAGATTGATACTAAAGTAAGAAATATGTAAAGATTATTCAATCTGTAATTTTACATCACAGATTGATATAATACAGTAGCCAAGTAAATAATTATACTTTCCAAGTAACTCTCAAAAACATAATCTATTTATCGTTTACGTTAAAGGTTAAGTGATACAAGGGAATTAGCGGGATAATGATCAATATGATGTATTGGGAGATGT